TATGATACTGTTTTTAGATATCCTTCAGTTAGTTAGTTGTTATGCTTTTTGTATCTACTGTCTTATATGTGTATGGCAATGTCTCAGTTCAAACACCCCAAGTAACACTTTTGTGATAAATTCATCCAAATAAGTTTTTTTTTTATGATATAATGTGAATGATGCAAAGAAATATTTGAAAATAAGACATTTCCTATAATTTTCCTTTCTAGCACATATTTTGAATGTTAAAATCCTATGTTAAATATTGTTATAGTTACAGTTCATCAGTAACAGGAAAATGAAAAGAATATTTTGAAGGACATGATGAAGTATGTCTTGTTTCCAGTGTAGTATTATGCACTTTTTTTCACTCCACGCCATTAAAACTTGTATGAACAGATATTGTTTCAGAAATCAGAAAAGGAAAGCAAGATATATTTTAAAGAGCTCCAATTGAAGTTTGACTATATCAAACAATATAATAATATAATATAATTAAACCTTATGATAAATTTTATTTGTTGAGAGATCATGTGTACTGATTAAATAGATTAAATAGATGTATTGTCTAATTTGTCCAGTCAGCATGAACAGTTAGCAGATTATGCTTTTGCAGAAAAAGACAAAAATGTACAGATCACTATATGTTTCAATATATACATATATTTTTGTAAATTTTTTTATCACCATTTCGATTGATTGCCTCATATATTCTGTATACATACACCTAAATTTAGGACTAGTAATGCTTTTGCTAAACATGAAATGGTATGCAAGGGTCAAGGATAGGTATGTATTACTATTCTTATGATTCAGATTGATAATCTGTTTACTGTTGTAAATGACTGAATGTTATGATAAAACATTTCCTAATTTCAATTTTATTGAAATATAAAAAAAAGAGTTCCTGAAAGAAAATAAAACTTGTAATATAAGGTTAAGACATGGCATTTTAAAATGTGCATAGACAATTCTCTCTCTCTCTCTTTCTCTTTCTCAACTCTCTCTCATCTTTCTCTCTTTCTCTCTCTTATCTTTCTCTCTCTTTTATCTGTCTCTCTTTCTCTTTCTCAACTCTCTCTCATCTTTCTCTCTTTCTCATTTCTCTTTCTCTCTCTTATCTGTCTCTCTCTTTTATCTGTCTCTCTCTTTTATCTGTCTCTCTCTTTTATCTGTCTCTCTCTTTTATCTGTCTCTCTCTTTTATCTGTCTCTCTCTTTTATCTGTCTCTCTCTTTTATCTGTCTCTCTCTTTCTCTCTCTCTCTCTCTCTCTCTCTCTCTCTCTCTCTCTCTCTCTCTCTCTCTCTCTCTCTCTCTCTCTCTCTCTCTCTCTCTCTCTGTCTCTCTCTCTGTCTCTCTCTCTCTCTCTGTCTCTCATTCTCTCTCTCTCTCTGTCTCTCATTCTCTCTCTCTCTCTCTCTCTCTCTCTCTCTCTCTCTCTCTCTCTCTCTCTCTCTCTCTCTCTCTCTCTCTCTCTCTCTCTCTCTCTCTCTCTCTCTCTCTCTCTCTCTCTCTCTCTCTCTCTTCTCTCTTTCTCTCTTTCTCTCTTTCTCTCTTTCTCTCTCTCTCTCTTTCTCTCTCTCTCTCTCTCTCTCTCTCTCTCTCTCTCTCTCTCTCTCTCTCTCTCTCTCTCTCTCTCTCTCTCTCTCTCTCTCTCTCTCTCTCTCTCTCTCTCTCTCTCTCTCTCTCTCTCTCTCTCTCTGTCTTTCTCTCTCTGTCTTTCTCTCTCTGTCTTTCTCTCTCTGTCTTCTCTCTCTTGTCTCTCTCTCTCTCTCTTGTCTCTCTCTCTCTCTCTCTTTGTCTCTCTCCCTCTCTCTGTGTCTGTATCTCTCTGTCTCTCTCTCTCTCTCTTTGTCTCTCTCTCTCTCTCTCTCTCTCTCTCTCTCTCTCTCTCTCTCTCTCTCTCTCTCTCTCTCTCTCTCTCTCTCTCTCTCTCTCTCTCTCTCTCTCTCTCTCTCTCTCTCTCTTTCTCTCTCTCTCTCTTTCTTTCTTTCTCTTTCTCTCTCCCTCTCTCTCTCTTTCTCTTTCTCTTTCTCTTTCTCTCTTTCTCTTTCTCACGTATGCCACTCTTGTTTTATCTGTTTCACTCTATATATTTGCATGCACATGTATTTGTATGTACATAATGCATTCAAAATGTAAATAGGTATATATATGAGAGTGAAAATGTAAATATTGTTCATTGAAAGTATTAGCATGCAAACAGAAAGTAATCCTATAGCTTTACTTTACAGTCTAGCCTGTCAGACAAGTTCAAACGACCTTTCAAGAAGAGGCTGTCGTCCCTCCCTCACACACCTTCCAATAGAGTCAATAAGTATTTAGCCCAAGCAATCGATGCCAGGTCCGTGGACAGAGAAAAATCTACACACGTATCGCTCATCACACTGTGCTTCAGGGACCGTGAGAAGGAGAGAAATGTAAGTGTGTTTGTATCTTTATGTAATGTGTTTTCCCTTTTTGTTTCCTGGAAAAAAAACATATTTTAAAGCATCTGATTTTAAGAACCCGCACCAGAGTTGGAATACAGTATTTATTTAGAAACTATTTTGTCTTTCAGTACCATGAAGAAGTAGATGTGGGCTTTGGAAACTCATTGCTGTGTTCCCTGTTTTTACTGTTGTTCGTGGCATCAGTGCAGGCACTGGTGTTACCACGCACTTTGCTCTTCCTCTTTTTGTTTCTGGCAGCCTTTGTTACAATATCTGTTATGCTCATTGTTCTTCTGGCATCTAGGTATGTACAGGAAATTTTGATCTGTGTATTTACATGTTTTAATAATTAGTGTGATATTTTCTCAAGTATAATATGTTTGAATCAATATGTGTTTGAAATTTAAGATATTCTGAATGCTTTATTTTTTTATGCAGGTTAAAAGTAACAACATGGGATCCAGCCAGGAGATTTGTGCTACGTCTCATTTTGACAATTATTGCTGTGACAGTGATATACATAATGGCCCAAGTTAATTCGGTAATAGATTTTCTATAACACCTGTCAGCTATAGTATATATGTGTGAATGTGTCCACAAATATTTTATGGATTGATGATATTGTTAGTCTGGTTAATAAACAGATAGATGAAAAGTTTGATCTTGACTAATAGGTTGCTTGATAGATTCTTACAGCATTTAAATATTTCAAAATTCTAGTGATGAAAGTGACTTTCTCTTTAAAGGGATAAGCGAATACTAACTAGTTTATTCATTTTTTTTCTTATTCTTTTTTTTCTAGTTTACATGTGAGTTACCACACGTACCTTGCAAAGCCAATGTGACCGACCTGACTCCTCTTCGCTCGGGCCCCCAAGAGTTTGTGCGCAATTTATGGTGTCCTTTGCCAGAGTACATCCCTCTCTCTTGCATTGTCGGTTTTATGGCAGTGGCAGTGTTCTTGCGGCTGCCAGTGTTAGTCAAAACACTACTCCTTGTGTCAATGGCAACTGTGTACTCCCTCTTGATCTTCATCACCCATCTTCGGCTCTTTGAGTGCTATGACATCCGAGTCGGGTAAGGAATTCTGATGTTGAGGTTCTTAGTTAACTTTTTATTCAGAGTTATGTATATAAGTTGTCTTTTTGAAGGGCCCAGCCTCTATTTGTGGTGTCCTTTGCCAGAGTACATCCCTCTCTCTTGCATTGTCGGTTTTATGGCAGTGGCAGTGTTCTTGCGGCTGCCAGTGTTAGTCAAAACACTACTCCTTGTGTCAATGGCAACTGTGTACTCCCTCTTGATCTTCATCACCCATCTTCGGCTCTTTGAGTGCTATGACATCCGAGTCGGGTAAGGAATTCTGATGTTGAGGTTCTTAGTTAACTTTTTATTCAGAGTTATGTATATAAGTTTGTCTTTTTGAAGGGCAGCCTTCATTGAATAACCTTCTTCAGTAGTTTGCTTGAGCTCTTTTGCTAATGTTACCATTAGTAATTAAATGTGATTATTGAAATACAGAGTGAGGAGTAGCATTATAGTCCTTGCATGAGAGATATAAAGCTGTAAATGTTTTTAGGTTTAGAATATGAGGATAGATATTATTTATAAAATTGTTCTGGCTGAACTGGTTAGGGAAATGAAGCTGATGTTCTTCCTTAGACTTTGTGAATGTAAAGTCATTAGTAATTCCATCCACAATTTCCTTTTTTTTTTATGTTTGACTTCTCAGGATACTCAAACTGCTCTGATTTGTTTACAGGGCATTGGTTCCTACAGAGGTTTTGGGAGTCGTATACATTTTGCTCTTTTTACTTGCTGTTATTGCTCATGGCCGCCAAGTTGAGTGGACTGCACGCCTTGATTTCCTCTGGCAGTGTCAGGTAAGACAGCGATACATGATGTATATTTTTATAAATTTATATGATAAAGAAATTGATGAATAAGTTCAGTAAACAGAAAAAGAATAATATGAAGAAAAATTCACAAAGAAAGAAATGCAATAGCTTGCTTATGTAATTTTTTCAGTAATTATTATCATCATCATCATCATCATCATCATCATCATCATCATTATCATTAGACAGAATACTCTTATTATGAAAATGGCTCCTTTTTCTCAGGCATCAGAAGAGAAGCAAGATATGGACGCCCTGCAAGAGAGCAACCGTCGGATCTTGTTTAATTTACTGCCAGCTCATGTCGCCACACATTTCCTAGACAACCAATTTAGAAATAACATGGTAAATTTGTCGTTTTTCTTTGGTCTTTTTATTTATTTATAGATTTTTTGTGGCCTTTTATGATTAGCTTATAAAACTCTCGTTGCTTGATTTTTTTTTTTAAGCCAGGAATATCTAGAACTTGATAGTTATACTTTTTTCAGTTTGTCTCTTTTTTATGGTACAAATGTGCAGAGTGAAAAAAGTGTTTTCTAGAAAAAATGATAAAATAGTCAAGAAATTTTACTTCTGAATCAAAGTGACCATTCCCACTCCAGGTAAAAAATCAAGCCCAGGAAGTGGCAATAGTGGTGTTTTGAGATATTCAGAGTGTATATAGGTATTAACAGTGCTAAGCATAATTTATATTAAAGATTCACTCTGTTTTATTGAAATACTTTCAAAAAGTTTAGTGCAGTGCAGCAATAATTTCTTTCTACCTTTGAATATGTAAAGTTTGGTTTCATATAGCAGCCAATATCCTAATTTTGTGGTAACTGGTTAGAGCCAGCTAGCTAAGCCTACTTGCTCAACTTTACCTTGGCTCACTTAAGGTTGGAGGCAGAAGAACAGGGCATTAGCAGTATATCTGTAAATATACTGCAATCACTGACATTTTCTGCAAATATTGACATTAAAAAAAAATCTGACTTGAAAATTCTACTTTTATGAAATTGTCCCTACTCCCTTGCAGCATTGGTACTTCAGTGTGCCCAGTGCTTCTCTTCCTTTCTTTCTTTCCTCTTTTAATTTTTTTCTTAATTTTTTTTTTTTTTTTTATATAAAGATAAGGTAAAGGCCATGCATCTCAAATGTAATGTTCTTTTGCATTTACTTTTTCAGGATCTTTATCACCAGAGTTATAGTCGTGTAGGAGTGCTGTTTGCATCCATTCCTAACTTCCATGAGTTCTACACTGAGCTTGCAGTGAACAACCAAGGCACAGAATGTCTTCGTCTCTTGAATGAAATCATAGCAGACTTTGACGAGGTGAGGCTATTACCCTTGTGTGAAAAGGAGGGGGCTGTTTTAGTGAAAGGGGAATGTGGCTTTAGATTAAACAGCCAAAAGTTTGTAAAACAGTGGCAGACGTTCATAGTCAGATTTTTATTTTTTCCATTTTCTTTTTTTAATTATATACTTTTCTTTTTTGGGGGACAGCTGCTGGATGATGAACGTTTTAAAGCAATCGACAAGATCAAAACTGTTGGATCTACCTTCATGGCAGCTGTGGGTCTCATGCCTGACATGAGAATACTGGACAAGGATGATTCTGCAAACTACTACATGACGATGCTTACTGAACTAGTCTTTGCATTTAAAGACAAACTTTCAAGCATCAATGAAAATTCTTATAATAGCTTTACCTTGAGAGTTGGTAAGTTGAGGTTAATTTGATAATCTTTATATTTGTAGCAAAGACAAATAATCATGCCTTGTTTTCTACTTTTAATGTTGAAGTCTTAGCTTGTATTAAAATATGGCACTATCTTCTAGGTATGAATATTGGACCAGTTGTGGCTGGTGTCATTGGGGCAAGAAAGCCTCAGTATGATATTTGGGGTAACACTGTTAATGTTGCCAGTCGCATGGATTCCACAGGCCTTCCTAATCATACTCAGGTAAGAATATTATACAGTTTATGATGGTAAGTAGTCATATTCTGATATCATTTTAAGATAATGCATTTATTATATATGTGCAGGGAGATTGGTTTTTACTACTATTATTATTTTATATGCAATTACTTGCTTGGTATTAGCCAATTTATCAGTTATGAAAAAGGTTTCTATCCCCTTTTTTTCCCATTGTCATAAGTACTGTTCCATGAGAGGGATGGAACAAAAACTAGCATACTTAAAATTTTGCTGTAAGCTGGAAGTATATAATTGTTTCAGTAATTCCTTTTGTCTTGACAATTTAATTTTAAAACCAGAAAACTGTGTGCATTAGCCTCTGTAGTTGTCTACCAATACTTTATGCAGTAGTTGGGAAACTTATAATTTCTAGGTTGATTACAGTTTATCAGAAATAAAGATAATGGTACAGAACATATATATTTGATTTATTTGCTTCAGGTAACTGAAGAGGTTTACCAAGTTCTCCGCAAAGGACCTTACCAGTTTCAATGCCGTGGAAAGGTTAAGGTCAAAGGAAAGGGAGAAATGACAACATACTTCTTAGTCGATAGGAAAGAAGCCCCAACAATTAAAGCTGAAGATGGTTCTAGGCCACCAAAGGTACCACCTCATCTCCAGAGTTATGGTGAGTTTGTGATAGCAGTTGCTAAACAGTTGGTAGGTTTGAGGGAGAGAGTAGATACCTACAGTTGCTCGTTGTGTGAGTTTCATAGATGTATTATCTTTGTGGTAAAAAGGAAGTGGTAAGGATCTGTGTACAGTGCTTAAATGTAGAGCACCTTTTTATTTATCACATGAAACTCATCCATGATACACAGCTGTTGGTTTTAGTTGATGGCTGAATTCCTCATCCCATAAATATAGTGTAAGGGTGTCTAGGAAGATGTGGCTCTTTTGTATAGAAGTTAATTAAAATGTTTTTGAAACATAAGGACATCACAGTGAGGTTAATGGCTTGTGGAACTAATTTTAAGGTTCTACATGAATAAAGTATGCATATTAAATTGAATTACATTTAGAGCTACCATGAACAAGCGAATATAGGAATTATCTGCAAGCCAGGAAATTACTTCATAAATGTTAAAAGTTAGTTTATGTTCTGTGTTTTTCTTTTTTTCTTACTGGCAGATATTAATACATTCTTCCAGTAAGGATTTTCTGTAGCTGAATGTAATTAATCACAGCCCTTGCCAAAGTTTTGTTGAAAGAACTTGATGAGAGTTATTAATAGATAAACATTATTGGCATAAAATGGGTAATTGAAGTAGGGTCTTGTGATCTGATGAATAGTAATATGGTATAGGTTTGATTGTATAGTTGAGATTTGAGAAGCTTGACCTTTGATTAAAGATCTCTTTGATTAACGAACCAAAACAACAGAGACCAATTTTCTGTCATACTGATTTTGATTATTTGAAGAAAATAAATTTGGTATAATAATATTTGTGTCCCAGTATTCCCATAGTTTACATTGTGATTACAATAGTTGAAACAAAGTAAAGTTATTTTTGCATTTAAAAGTACTGATCTCATCACATTCTTAAGAGCTGGAAGAATAGGTTGACAATAAGGAGTTGTTTATAGTAAGTGGTTTAGTTTGAGCTACAACCCACCCACATTTTTTTTCTAGTTCTTCATGTAAAGTTATATTGGTCAGAAGAAAATACTCTTTTCTACTTTATTGCTTTGTCACAGAAATAAACTCTAGCTTATATAGAAGAAGGTATACTGTGAGGCTCCAGTATTAGCTTTATTAGCTTTATTAGGGATTTAAAGTTTAGCAATGGGTGGGCCAGGATGAGCGATGATATGCCAGTGCTTGTTATATATTTTTTTCTTTATGGTATTGTTTACATGTGCCAAATTTATTATATAACCTTGTGTCACTTTGAGTAGTGGCATATAAGTAGTAGAAGAGATGGTGAATAAAAAAAGCTCAAAATAGGAAATGAACATATTTCAGATTATAAATTGTCAGGAATTTTTGTAGTTGGTAGAGGTAGTACTCACTGTGATACAAATAACTATGGGAAGAGGGTGTACTCTTCTGGCTTCAGATATATTTGTGTAAGTTATTTTCTCTTCATCATGATTCATATCACTTAATACTGTATAATATTCCCTCTTGTTGCAAAACACTATTCATTTTTTTGCATCCATGCTAAAACAAAGATAACCTATAAATCAGTATGATAGTGAGGTCCTAATCTGTATTATGCATAATTGCTATCAAATCTTTTATATTTTTGATGTAGAGGAATCTAGTTTTAGTGGTGTAGTAAGTCTATATACTGAAGGTCAGTGTAGAAGAATATTGCCAACAGATACAAGGAATGCTAAAATAAGCTCAGTTTGAGTGAGGAAATGCATTGAGTAAATGAATAAGTGAGAAAGCAAAGAAAAAATTGTGTGAGAGGAAAAGAGAATTATGTATATTTTTTGTGTGTATCACACAGATCTTAATATATACTATGTATATATAAATATGTATTTTGTGATGATGCATGTGTATGTATGTACATATATGTATGGGGAAGTAAAGTCTAAGGCAGATTTAAGATGCAGTGTATGGACACACATGCACTCACAAAATACACACAACCATACTCATACATTTGCATGCTCATGAAGATAATTGTCACATGTGGCATATGTATACTCATGTATGCACATACACATGCACATATGTGTACACACACGCACACACACCCACATGCACCCACACACACACATGCAGCCACACACACATGCAGCCACACACACACGCAGCCACACACACACGCAGCCACACACACACGCAGCCACACACACACACGCAGCCACACACACACGCAGCCACACACACACGCAGCCACACACACACGCAGCCACACACACACGCAGCCACACACACACGCAGCCACACACACACGCAGCCACACACACACGCAGCCACACACACACGCAGCCACACACACCAGCACACACACACACACACACACACACACACACACACACACACACACACACACACACACACACACACACACACACACACACACACTCACATACACACACACACACACACACACACTTGTAACCTTTAAGTTAGGTTATTGTGGACAAAAATGAGTGGTGCTCATCATGCATAACTTATTAACACACACAAGTTCCCAAACGCTTTTCCCTACAGGGTTGTCATTTATATTTTCATTATACAGTCCCTATTCTTTTTTGACTGTTTAGGTGCATATTCAGGCCACATATATGAGTCTATGACAACTTTTATTTATATAAAACAAACAAACTATTTAAAACCTTCAGATTAGGGTCATTGGAAAGAAAGATAACCAAAAAAATTATATTCAGTTATCTGCTACAGTGTTTAAAGAAAAAAAAACATACAGTTACTAAAGAATACATTTAAAGTTATGTTACACATTCAGAGGCTGAAATTACTTTATCCAAACAGTTCAGAGGAACCATATCCATGTAAGATGATGTCTCATTGTCACAGGTCACTTATTCACCATGAGACACAAACACTTCATAAAAGTTTGTACTTCACCCTGCATGCAATAGGGCTCAGTTTCCACAGGAAACACAGAGCATTTATTACTGAGCAAAGACACAAGTACAGTAAATCCTCACTGAAAGACCTCTTGACCCATCTTCTGGCTGTAGCCGGATACCTGGAGACGGGAAGATTCCAGTGAAGGGTTCCTTGAGGCAACAATATTAAAAAGT